TTTGCTGTCTCTTCCACTTTACCACAGCTCAACCTCCTGTCTCCATTAATCCCAGAACCATAAGGCCCCTGACTACTGCTTTTGTCCAGAGGATTAAGAGAGTGAGTGGGCTGGAATTAGCAACAAGTCCATTTTCCTTGGAATTGCCAGGGCTGGACTACCACCCACTTTGTTGTTTCTTCCCATTTTCTGAGCATCACAAAATGTAATATTCATGTGTCAAGGGATCCAGGATTGTATTTTAACATTTTATGGCCTCTTTGTAAAACTACCTTTTCAACTTTAGAGGAGGCAGTTTTATGACTCCCTTTGATAACCACTTAACTATTAAGACCCAAACAAAGAAGAGGAATGGTCAAAGGATATCAGGTACTTCCAGCCAGCTAGAGTCTCACTTCTTGAACATTATTCAAATTAGCTCCAGGACTCATAATTCTGTGTTTTCATTTATTGCTGCAGTAAAGTAAATGGTTCTTTTATCCAAATGTTATTTCCTGGCTATTAATTCAGTAGTTATTTTGGATTGTGGCACTCCTCTTTGATTTAGAGATATGACACCTTATAAATATTTAAAAGTTGAAGACTGACACTTGGAGAAATTGACTTTGATTTGCTTTGTTAATATCCTATGGCTAGAGTAATTATAGGTTTGGAAGATGCGACCTCATTTTCTGTTTACCGGAAGCAATGGGAAGCACGTGTCTCTATAACAAGGAATTTGTCAATGGAAGGTTGTTCCAAATCTTTTGCAGACCAGATCTCTATGCTTGTCTGCTCAGGATACATACTGCCCATTACTCTTCATAGTGTTCTCCAGACCCTGCTCTTGAACCCAGCAACGTGGGGATGAAAACTACCCAGACTTCTCAAAATAGCTGAAAATGATCATTCCTGAAAGGCTTGGAACTTTCTTTCTTTCATCTACAAGTGCCAGCAAGGGTTTATGGCAGGGCTCAGGGTGATCTACAGACTGGTATGATTTAAACATGGATCAATCAACCTATTAGGGGAAAAATAGACCAGGTCAGTAAGGATGGGTCTTGGTGAACCAGAGGTCATTTTACATTTTCAACCTAATGTTCTTATTTCCTTTCCATTAACATTTCATAATGAAAAAATGCCTATATTCTTTAATTTTTAAGATAATTAAGTGAACTTAGTGCCTTTGAAGGGTAGAGGATTTATAATGGCATCAGAGAATACACTATTAATAATCTACGAAGACAGGAGCCACCTGGAGCAGAACAGTGCTGCCTCCATCACCATTTCTGCTTCTTTGGTGACAAACTGTAATAAGGTTCAGCCTCCTTTGCCAATTCAGAACCAAACTTCTCTCCTGATACCAGAAAGATTTGTGTCTTTTGGGACAGGGCCTCTATCTCTTAAAAAGTGTTTTGTTTGTTTTTCACTAGCATTTGATTCTGAATTGGAACAAATTACAGCAAGCACAGATCTTGTATTCTCTGTTTACAAACCCTCAAACATGTGACAGTAGTAAAGAATTGCTCCGAAGCTTCCCTAAGGAAAAGAAAATGGTGTCTGCCTCTAAGATTGTTGGAGCCTAATAAGTGAGTTCACTGGCAGAAGTGAATCCACAGGGACACAGAATAAGAGAAAGAGAGCCACATGGTTGCAGCCAGGCCTGTGCACATAGAAACAAAGGGCCTATAGACCAATCTGAGTTCTCCAAGCTGACCATTCAAGGTATCATTTAATAAAGATAACTTCATTGATTTTTGGATAAAGATGATAGATTAAATACACTCATTTTCTTTTGTTCTCTCCCCAGGCCCTATTAAAACAAAAATAAAGGAGTTTTTTAAGGCATAAATTCCCAAGCCAAAGAAATTGGGAAGGGACTTAATGGGGACAAAATTTTGGATGCTAGAAAACAGATGGATGAACAGGAAGTAATTAGCAAACTCAAGACAGCCAAAATTACCTAGCAATGGGAAAAGCTGAGAGGCAAGCAGACTTATACCATAGACTCCTCCCAATAAATGGCTCAGGAATTGAGTAATTAAGTACCTTTGGAAGTGCTAATGAAGGTGGGATTATAAACAGGAAAACAGAGAGTCTAAGAAGAAGTTAGAGCCCCAGATCCTTTGTACTACTCCCCCACTCCTTGTCCTCTGGAGAGAGTGTAATTGCAGGTCTTTGGGTTAGGGAGTCGTCAGTGCGGAGCGTGAGGGTGGGACTGAATGAACAGGAGACCAGCGCTGAGGCTCCTCATCCACCCTGCTTTCCCACTAAGTTCCAGTCAGAAGATTCTTTTCTGGGGATTCGGAGTAGCTAAAGAGCAAAGATACAAAGAGCTGACATTTGGTGGCATCCCCAAGGAAACAGGTCAGACAGATTCCGCCTACAGAGAAGTCCCCAGAAACTCCAACAGAAACTTTTAGAGCTCCACTTTTACACAGGAGTGGAAAACTAAAGGTTACAAGGCCACTAAGGAAAACTTCTAATATTTCTAAAGCCTCTAATGTTTTAAAATTATTGAAAGTTGGCTGATGAAGAAACAGACTAAACCATTAATTGATGAATGGAACAAAAATGTGGTATATGCTTACAATGGAATATTATTTAGCTTTAAAAAGAAAGAAAACCTGTCATATGCTTTAACGTGGATGAACTTTGAGGACATTATGCGAAGACAAATGAGCCAATCACAAAACAGACAAATATTGCATGATTCTACTTATACAATGTAGAGTAACCAAACTCATAGAAACAGAAAGTAGAATGGTGGTTGCCGATAGTGGGAGGAGGAGGAAATGGGGAGTTGTTAAATAGGTATGGAGTTTCAGCCAAAAAAGTTCTAGAGATCTGTCGTATGACAATTTGCATATAGTTAACAATATTGCACTGTACACTTAAAGTTGTCCGACAGTAAATTTTGTGTGTCCATGTTTTTTACCACAATAAAAACAGAGAGATACTAAAACTAAGTACAGAGAGTGAAACAAATTATGAGAAAAAAATGACAAATAGAATTGTCATTCACATCCTCAGGAGGTAAGAAAACATATTGTATCCATGAAATAAAATTAAGATGCTATTAAAAAAAATAAAAAGGAACATCCAGACGGCAAAAGAAGAGCTCTTAGGATGAAAACCAGGGTATTAAAATCTCAAGAGTAAGAAGGTCCTAGAAAGCAGAGCAAAAAGGAAAAGAAATGAAAAATATGAGAAATGAAAACTAAAAGAAAAGAGCAATGAAAAGAAAGAAAGGAAAACCAGTCCAAAGGTCAAGTTAAGGGAATTTCAGAAAAATAAAAGAAAGAAAGAAGTCTTTAAAGAGCCTATTTTAAATGTTTTTTCTAGAATTAAAAGACATAATTTTCCAATTAAGAAAAGGGCTAACAAAGTACCTAGGATAATGAATGAAAACAAACTAACACCAAGGCACATTTGCATGACGTATCGGAACTCTTGAAGCAAAAAAGATGCTACAAAAACTCTGTGGGAGAGGGAGTTATTTTCAAAGTGTAATAACCCAGAATAGCTTCTGACATCTCAAAAGTAACATCTAAAGCTCAAAAAGCAATGCCTTTAACATTCTAATGGAATAATTTCCAACCTAGAAATCTTACCTAGACAAACTATTAATGAAATGTGACAGTAATACAAAAACATTTCAGACTGCCCAACCTCACAAATCTACCACACCTTTTCTTGGGAATCTATTAGAGGATGTGTCTCACCAAAATGAAAGGAGAAACCAAGAAAGAGAAAGATGTGGGCCAGAGAAACAAGAGAGAAAAAGTCATCCCCACAATTATGGCAAAGGACTATCCTAGGATGAAAACTACACATCAGACATAGAAGATAGTTGGTCTAAACTGGAGAAATGCCAGAAGTACCTGGAGTGATTTATTCATGAAACTGATGGAATGCCCAAAGCATATGAACATTTGAGAAGAGACTTAGACAACTGGTAGAGAGTTTAGGGGTTGAATTATTTGCAAGTACATGGAGAACTAAGCTCCACCTATGGAGGAACATAGAGTTGGGAAGGAAGGATTAATTATGTGATTTCTGGAATGCTTAGAGCAGCCAGAGTTGGATTTAATCTCTTAGCCAAAGTAAGTAGTTCCAGGGCATAAATTATTGTCAGGGTAATTTAAACCCAGTGAATAGACTAGGAGTATGAATACAGAATGGTCTCTGATAACCTGAAAACATAAAAGTGACTCCCTTACGAAGAGTGATCCAAAGAATATGGTAAACCCAATGAAATCAGCCTATAAATGATTTCCAAAGATTTTTTTTTTTCTCCTTTTTAGGCTCATTGGTGGGACAGTTGATTGACAGTTGCCTAACATGGGTGTTTTGAAAACCTTGAATGTGTATGACCAGTATTGTAATTATGTTGTGACACATATGTAGAATGAAGCTAAATAAGATAGCAAAATTGATCTCTTCAGTGAAATATATGCTTATGCTAAACCTCTAGATATCTCTATGTTATTAAGACAACATATTTCTCACCAGAGATGTGCTGTCTGATCCTTTCAATCCTTCTGAATATACAGAACACATGTGTAACAAAGAACATGTGCAAGCTACAGGGTATAAGAAACAAGGCAAAGTGGTGTATTCCCGTCTCCTCCTGAATAGCATCAATTAAAATTCACAGCTGCTGGCTGCCCAGATGTTTCTTTTTAGTGCTCTGTAATATGCATCAGAATATATTGTATGACTACGGTTTCCATAAACTTGACAGTTCTGTATTCTAAATTCTGCAGACTAGATCCAGTGTGTATTTTATCTTGAGATTAGTACCCGCCCCAACCCTGCCCCTCCCTACCTTCATTTGCTTGGGGCATTTGCAGTTCAGAAACAAAAGACATTTACAGCTCAGAGTTTAGCTATATCAGGGTGTAAGTGCAGGTCAGGCCTGATTTATGTGGCACTTCTGATAAGCAGGGGAGGAGAGCAGGATGGGGGTTTGGAAAAGCTGGTGAACTTGGCTTGACTTATGTCTTTCGCTTTTGTAGGCAGCCAACATCCCTCTGGTGTCAGAACTTGCCATTGATGACATTCATTTTGATGACTTTTCTCTCGACGTTGATGCCATGATTACAGCTGCTCTCCGGATGTTCATGGAGCTGGGGATGGTACAGAAATTTAAAATCGACTATGAGGTAAGATATTCTGTCTTGGGTGATCCAAGCAGTTCACCTAGGATTAGCCACTCTGAACCACCAGTTTCCTAAATACAAAGTGGGGATGATAATCCCTGCCCTGCACACCTCATGGGATTACTGTGAGAACCAGAAGAGATGTTTGTGGAAGGCCTTTGATCGTTGACGGTTACTCAGACATAACGCACCATTGAGATAAGGGTCCACTGGAGACCTTACAACTGCCTGACACACCCTCTCCTTTCCATTTCAGACACTGTGTAGGTGGCTATTGACAGTGAGGAAAAACTATCGAATGGTTCTGTACCACAACTGGAGACATGCCTTCAACGTGTGTCAGCTGATGTTCGCGATGTTAACCGTAAGTATGCTTAGTGATGGTGGAAAGTCATTTCCCATTCGTAGGAACAGTCCGGCCTTCTCCTATACATTTCCATTTCTCTGAAAAATTACCTGTAATCATTTTACGTTGGAACTTACCTGCCCTGGTTATGAAAGTATATATGTGCCAGCAATTTCTGAGCTTGAAAGCAATAACATTATTGACACCTTAAAGCCAGTGTAGCCTTGGAATGATTGCTTCAGCTTCTGTTCAGTGTTTTTCCTTGATAAACTGGTTCTTTTACAAAAGAAATGCTTACATTTTTAAAGTAATCTTTTTGCAGAGGGAAAAAAAGTAATCCTTTTGCAGATGAGTAATAGAACAAAGAGATCACTGGATATGACTCTCTGGGCTGGTGGAAAGCCAGTAGGGAGGTATGAACATCACCCACAGGAATACGGAAATCCTGAGTGGATGCTTATTTGAGAGAATGCCCAGGGAGCCCAAGGGGAAAAAGAAGGGGTAGGAGTGCATGCTCTCCAGGTTTAGGGCTTACTTGCCTTAAAATCTCTGCCCCGGGGGCTATAACCCAGTGATGGTGGCCAGCCTGTTCCACAGAGATATCTAGCACAGCAGAGGTAAGCCTTGTTATTTAATCTGAAGGCAAATATTTGTGGCAAAGATTCAAACCAAATCCTCTATTTACTTCTTCCTGGCAAGAAATAAGGCTTGTTTTGGCATAATTTCTACTACATTGTTAAGCTATCATCAAGTAAAATATTTTCTGGCTTAAATATATTGGTTTCTTTGTCCTCATAGTTACATATACAAACATGTGTACGTAGATATCTGTGAGTGTGTGTAAACATATTGCCATACCAAAAAAAAAAAAAAAGTAAGTCTTGGATTCTTCAACATAAAACAAATACCTTATATTTTTGCACCCAGACTAAAATTTAAACACAAAATCAGAACTCCAAATGAAATGCATTTTCCTTTGGTCCAAATGAACAAAGACAATTCGCTTCCTAGAAAAAAAAAAAATCTCTGCCTCATTTTCTGCCTATTAAAATTGTACTCATCCTTGATAGCATTGATCTAGTGCCAGTTTTTCTACAAAGTCTTCCCCTTTCTCCCAAATCATCAATAATTACTTCTTTCCCTGTACTATATCTAGTACAACACATCTTCCTTACTACTGTGTTTTGTTTGTTTGTTGTTGTTGTTTTTGAGATGGAGTCACGTTCTGTTGCCCAGGCTGGAGTGCAGTGGTGCAATCTCAGCTCACTGCAACCTCCGCCTCCTGGTTTTAAGCTGATTCTCCTGCCTTAGCCTCCTGAGTAGCAGAGAGTACAGGTACATGCCACTGTGCCTGGCTAATTTTTTGCATTTTTAGTACAGACAGGGTTTCACCATATTGTTCAGGATGTTCTCAATCCCTTGACCTTGTGATCCACCTGCCTCAGCCTCCCAAAGGGCTGGGATTACATGAGCCACCGCACCCGGCCACCACTGTGTATTTTAAGTTACAAATCTGTCATCCTCCTATAGGGTAAGCTGCTGAGGGAAGAGATCATTTCTTGTTCTTTCAACAATATCTATGCATATTTGGTCAACCACCATGTGTTGAGGGTTGCACCAGCACCTTGAACTCTGTCATGTACTTGATTGGTTTTCAAAAAACGTACATTGAATTGACCTGAAATGTGCATAAAAAGATGGGGCTAGAATATCTTTTATGCTAGGGACTTGTGCTTTGGGTCCTCATCTGCTTAAGGAACAGGTAGACTGGCCTGGGAAAACTGGACTGGTCCCATTCATCTGTTGTATTCGCCATCGGAAGAGTGAGCCAGTCAAGTGAGAAAGAAAGATGCTTTGAACCCTGAGGCTTAATGGTTCAAGTGACAACTATTACTTGGGAAAAAAAAAACCTTTATTTTGTTTTCTTTATCATTCCTTAGTAAACAAGGTATAATTTTCCGTGTATAGAGTTCATGAGTCTGGCCCACAGAGGACATACAATAAAGAACTTGTTAATCCATTATTCTGGAAAACCTATGGATTTATGCTGAATTGCCAAAGTAAGTAAGCAGAAACCCTGTTCAATGAAGGAAAAAGGAATGACTGTGACATTTTTGAGTTAGAAATGTCAAGGGCAGAGACAGATTTTTATGACAAGCCCTAAATAGTTGGAATAGGGGAAACTGGCAAGAGCAGCAGGGTCACAGTGGACACTTAGGAACAAAGGAAATGTATACTCAGTTTTCTGCAGTGGATATTTCCGTGATATGGGCAATTTTGATCCTTTCCAAGAAATTGAAGAAAATAGAATTCTCAAACTATGTCACCATAATGGGGACACTCATATCGTCAGAATACTTCCAGTGTGCAGTTGTTTTGCAAGTATGCTCGGCAATCTTGAAGAGCACCATTGTTGGAGAAGACTTAGGGTTTGTTTTGTTTTGTTTCATTTATGCTAACACAAAAAGAGGAGACCTCATTGCTAAATCTCTCTAAGGAGGGTGGGTGGAGGCGACCACAAAACAAAAACATGACTTCAGAAAGAATAAAACATTATTTTTTTTTTCTCCTTCACATTGTATTGAGTAGCCATATCTGGAAATGATAGTATTTTCTGCTCATTAAATTTTGTTGAACTTCTCTAAGGGTTCCAATCTGTTGAAAGTGTCAACTTTTATTTTTCTCTAACATAAGTATCTTCTCCAAACTTGACTTTGGTCAGTCTGGTTAATCAGAATTTTTAAATTAAGAAAATAATTACAGAAGTATCAAAAACGACTTAGTGTGGCTAAAAACAAACTTAATTTACTCACCAATTCTCATCTCTGGAAGTGACCTCAGCCTATGGTAAAATAATGCCCTGTTTATTTCCATGAATGGCCACTCATGCTTTGGACACTCCTGAAAACTCTAAGTCTTTCAATGTTTACATCTTATTAAATTTTATTTAATATTACATTATTATTGAACGTCCATTCCAATGATTTCATATTTCCTATCTGTGAGTTGTGTTAGAACCAAATTCTCTATTAATCTGGGGGAAAAGAAAAAGAAAAAGAAATTCAGCATATACTGACCACGGGATTCATGTCATAAGGCTAAGCAAGCACGGCGCACGTGTGCTGAGAATTCCTCTAGATGGCGCTCCAAGGCAAAGTTTCCCAGCTGGTTTCCAGAAAAGGGAAAAAAAAACCTTACCAACCTTGCTTGAAAGTGCTTCTTTTTTTCTAGCACAGGGGATACTGAGGTACACACCCTACCACAAAATAAATGTTTTTCTTAAAAGAGATAGCAACTAAACCAGTCTGTCGGAAAAAAGCCTCTACTATCAGGATGGGCCCGTTTTGTGACTGCTGCCTTGCATACCGTGCTGTTAATGTGAATAATCAAGTGTTCTCCGTGTGCCCTTAAATCTGTGACTGTGTATTTTTCCTAAGCCCATTGTCTCTGGGAATAGGGAGATGCATAGTTGTGTGTCACTGCTGAGCAAATTTTGGCATCACGTACAACAGGACAAGCAAATTATAAACATATGCCCCAGCTTCCTAACCTTTAACCCTAAAATCACTTCACGCGTGGAAAATAAACTTATTGACTCAGCATTGTGTTTTGCAAAAGCATTCAGGTTCATGTCTAGGTAACAAAGAGGTTTTGTTCCTTTAGAAATTAAAAAAAAAAAACCACTCTGTAGGATAGGCAAATTGCTATAAAATGATGAGCATTTTGTTCACTGGGAACCCTGTTAATTACTTATTAATTTGTTCCATGCCTCTGGTCTGAAATTTCACATTTATAAATTTGAAATATTCAATGTTATTCTTTACTTTTAAAGAGATATTTAAATAGTTAAAATTTCCCAAATACTTTGAATTACTCTGATAAATACAGTAAGTGGGACCAGTTACTACTTGTGGTTAAAATGAGAAAGAAAAACCTGCAGATCAATGACCATTATATAAATTATCTTTACTAATAAGGGTTTATAGAATAAACATTCCATCATGCACATATATAATAAATAAATTATAACTATAAATACATGATGAAAGATGATGGATGTTATTTCTCATATTCACAGTGTAGACCAGATATAGGAAATGACTGTGCTTTTGTTTGTATTCTGTAAAATAAAAGGCAAAGTGGTGCCAAGTTTGCAGACATTTTTTCCATTTTATTAATGATGTATGAGCTCTGACAGATTTTTCCAAGGGGAAAAAAAAAGATTTCTTTTAAGAGTCAGTATTCTTTACTATCCCATAAATGTACTCATTAGCACTTTGGGCCATGCCCTGCATCATGCAGGATATCAATAAAGATTAATTGAATGAGTGAATTTAGTTTAGGGTAATATTATTCAAGGAACCATGTTGCTCAGTGTCCAGTTACGAAAAACTGTAAAATGATGAACAACTATCATTGCTCAAAATCTTGTTCTTTCTTCATATCACACTCAGGTTCAGCTAGGGTTCATATAGAATATATATGATCTTGCAGAATTCACTGGATATGAAAAGAGAAGAGCACATGATCACATTAAAATTTATGGTGGTGCTGGCAGCGTGGCGCTGGTGGGGAATTGCAGTTAAACACTAATAATAACCAAGTATCACAGCAAACACATTGACACCCCCTGACATTTACTGGGGGCTTCTTAAATCTTAATGTGGAGGTAGCGTATTTAAATCCATATTTGTGTTGTCAACAAGGTTATTTTCACAGATAAGCCAAACCATTTTATTGATAATTCAAACAAGAGAGCAGAAGGGATGTTTAGGGAGAAAATCCATTCTATTCACCAGCTTGAGGCTAATGTTCTGTCCTCTGACTGCAGTTTCCAGGAAAGCCCTTGATTTTTGAGGTAGAAAATTTCTTCTGGAAGGAGATTTTAGAAGCACAGCTGAAACTCCTCCCTTCCCATCCAAGAAATACAGAACCAATTGAAATTTTAAATAAAATATTTTTACTTAATAATGAGAATCATAATCTCAACAGAAATCAAATTCCTTTGTAGATTTTAA